ATGCATGAGTAACAACATGACAGACCAGATTAGACTTTAGTTGTGTTTGAGTCTGTATCTGGTGGCAGTTTGAAATGTGAGTACAGAACATTTATGAGGGGAGGAGCAATGTCACAGCAGCATGCCAAATTTTTGAAGTATTATACACCACCTGTAGGTTGAGCAGAGTGTTAAGAGTTTCATCTTTCAAAAAAACTCCGCAGTTGAACAAATGTCGAAGTTTTATTCGTCTTTCAGCCTGTGAGAAATGCAGCAAAAACTGACAAAATGTCGGACCACACGTAAAACATCTGAAGGGTGTGTTAATGGATTCCAATGCTGACAAATGTTCATGTTAGAATGACAGCATCAAAATATAAAAGTCTTCAGTCAGGCACCAAGTCCTTTTTTTAGTAGTAGTATAGGTGAGTCTACAGCTCTGCCAACTGTGACTTCAGTGCACTTCTTTGTCGGTTTATCAGGTCCATTAGCTAAAACTAATGTAGTCTTATACAACAACCTTCCTATCAATCCTATGTTCATGAAGGTCATAATTTCAGGTTTGAATTTGAAGATAAGAAAGCGGCTTTAACTGATCCTCAGAGAGAGAGAGAGAGAGTTTAAAAATAAGCAAGCAGTACAAATACAGCACCCATGAAAAATATTCACTTCAACTAAGTGCAATGCTCAAAGTCTCAAGTGAGGTGTTGATTCTACTGTATGATCAGTTTGGAGGTTGTAGTTTGTGCTGCTATTATCCTTATTTATATATAACCATAACACGGCTGAACACAATTCCCAAATGGAGATTCTGAGCTTTGAGGAATGTGACAGCTTGACTTTGACGCATTGTATTTACTTATATTTTGGGGAAATATTGTTTTTTTTTGTTTTGTTTTTTTGGACCTACTGAGCACATAAACAGACAGCAGAGAAGTATTCTAGGTTGCAGGAGTAATTTGAAAAACTTCAAGGTCAATAACCCTTCAATGTATTATGAAAGCCTTTTAAAGGAAACGCATTACATAAATAAACATTATGTCTATTAATAGTTAAAGCAGCTCAATCATTACGTATTGTGTATAGCTGCTTTTCGACCATAGGTACCGGGGACTTTTAAGTCCTCAGATCTCTTTTCAAGGAACTAAAAGGTTCCCTCAGCCCACTGTTGTGTGCATTTCCACCGTGGTCTAAAGACCTGCGAAGATTAGGCAAATTGACCAGCTGACATAGGCTGTAGCCATACAAAGCTATGCACAGGCATCATTATTTGTAACTACTATCCATGAACAACATTATAAATGATCAGATTTGACTGGATTATAATGAAAAACTATAGGCTATGCTCGACCATTAAAGCAGCTTTTTTGTGTGGGAGCTATAATGTAGAGACACATTATAAAGTTCGTTACAAATTTAATAGTAGCCAAACAAACTGGATAAAGCCATAAAGTTCTTAAAATAACTTCAGCACAGAGAAAGCAACACAAAAATAAAATCGCGAAAGTTTGGAAGGTTATTAAAACATTTCCAGCCAACAAAAGCTGCAGATCAGCTGCAGCACTCACGTCTGTGTCCGCTTGCGTTGGACGAACGGGATGTTCTGCTTGTTTCGGAGAAGAGATGACTTCGGCTCCATTTAGAAACTTCTTGGCTGATGATAACTTAAAACAACAACTTCTGACCCAGTATTTAGCGTTACTCCATCAGCTGTTCACTGTAAACACACCGCTGCAGCTGGCTGCTATTTCCCAGCTATAAATTTAATGCTGACATACGATCTCAGGCGGACATCAGCAAGACATGTGTGGTAACAAACTGGATAAAACCATCAAGTTCTTATTAAAATAACTCCAGCACAGAGAAAGCAACACAAAAATATCCAACGAAGGTTAAAATCAAGGGCAACTGGACTTGGTTGAAGAATCTTCAACCAAGTCCAGACTGAGAATCTTCATAGACAACACAAAAATAAAATTGACAACACAAAAATAAAATTGCGACAGTTTGGAAGGTTATTAAAACATTTCCAGCGACAAGAGGTGCAGATCAGCTGCAGGACTCTGTCACCTGAGCGTCGGAGGAGCGTGATGTTTAACGAGCTTAATTAGGCCTACCTGCTGTAATCAGCTGTTCCGCTCGTTTTGGAGAGGAGGAGACCAACTTCGGCTCTGTCTAAAAACCTGCTGACTGATGAAAACGTACAACAGCGTAAACACACAGCTGCACGCTGGCTATTTCCAATATATTTAATGCCCACATAAGATCTCAGGCTGACATCGGGGAGACTTGTGTGGCTATTTGACTGTTGATTGCAAAGAAAGGTGGAAAAGAGACGAGCAGTCGTAGAGAAACAGTCCACATGCTATGTTTAAAGCTAGTAGCCTCTACTCGCCCATTCAGAACCCCCCCCCCCCCAAAGTACCGGTACTTTCCCCCGAGCAGGTACTTTTTGGGGGTTAAAATGAAGACCCCAGAACTACATTTAGACCCTGGTCCCTCTGGTGGAAAAACAGTGAGTTCGTCCCAAAGGTTCCTAGTTCCGGGGTATAGTTCCTTTGGTAGAAACGCAGATTATGATGTATTGGATTGGTAAAGATGTTGACATGCTGTATGATGACTCAATTTGTACAGGGGAGCAGTGACATCTAGGCATGACTTCAAATCTATGAATGAATACTCCCCTCTTGAATTGCACTGTTAAAGTTAAACTACAGAAAAAAGATGAATAATTGAAGCACTAAACTATAAACCTTTTTAAAGCTAACTTTCAAGCAAAGTTGTTTCTGAGATTTTTAGGTGGGGGACTTTTAACATCCAGCACAGGTTTCCACACAAGCACTCACCCTCAAGTTAGCACAATAGAGACTTACATCAGATCCTGTGTGCCTTTAGAAAAGTTCACCCCAACTGCAGTCATTCACTTGGGCTGAATGTGTGTCTCTCTCTCTCTCTGTCACACAGCACAGAAAATGAAAATAATTAAACGGACGTGAGAGAATTCAGGATAACTTGTTTTTGCAGAGCACCACTGAGTCAGTCTTCTGTTCATTTCTAATTGGGCAGCTTCTTGGCTTTATGTTGATGTGACGTCACAGAGCTTCAGCTCTTAGGAAAGAAACTTTAATGGAAACTTTTAAGTGTATAGTGACACATTGCAAACAGATAATAAGCCTAAGACACAACAAAGCACCATATGAATATCAGATTTAGATTAAGACTCAAACTAACATTAGCTAAGTTGTGGGTTAGCAAACCCAGTTGTCACAAAAGTTGATGCTGCAAAGCTAACATGCAGAGAGGACAAGATGATAGCACACAAGTTCTAGACAGTGACACACTCAACTCTCTTGCTACTACAGCTAACATTACAGCATGTCTTGGCCGACTATAAAGTAAGCTGAATGTCCGTGGGAAACGTTACCTGACACAGAATCATGGATGGAATAGTGGCCCCCACTTGTTTGTTTCCTATTTACAGAGTCCAGGCTTCACAAATACTGAATAGTTTTTTGGCGCACACACAGAATGGATAGCTAGTGGACTTTCTTTCTTTTTTTTTTTTTTGCCAATGCACTGTGTGGAGATATTCCCTAAATATGACAGACGTGTACTGGAATAGAATCGCGTAACCCACCTTTTTAAGGTTTTGGAAAATTACTGGATTTCTTTGAGTGTAGCATCCAAATGTATCAACATTCTTCAGCCGTCTTATCTCAAGGATTCCTGTCTCACGTGACGATGTTAACCCTGTGATGGGGACTTTGAGTCTACATTCTAATTATTTTTAGTTTTGTCAAATTTTAACCATTTGTGTTTTTCTTTTCTAAATTTCACTTACTATCAGTCCCTGTGGACCGTAGGCATTCATCACTTTTGGTTGTTTCTCATTATCCCTAATGGGAAATGAGGCTGTACAGAGTTCACTAATAGCTGCCTGCGTTATTCATAAATCCTGACTGCAACTGTTCAATTCAAATAAATCTTCTTAAATTATGTATATCATTTTCAAATAGTCCTGGTTGTTCTGAAAATATGTAATACATCCATATTTTAAAGGTAATGAGGGTCGTTTTTCTTGTTCTTCAATGTAGTGTTATCATAATTATTATCTGCTTGCTGTGTCACTGTAGTGCACTCTTGATAACTTACAATGCCATCTTAGCTTAAACTCAAACTATTCTTCATTGTACAAGTAAAATGTTTTTTATCTGGTGTTCACACAATGATGCATTTTATCACTGCTCACATACTTGAATGTTTCATCTTATCTTTTAAAGTGTGTGCATGCAGCAGAACAGCTGAACATTGTGAAACCAGGTTCTGCATCGCTGGCTGCTCAAACCACAAGTATAACGGCTGCACCACATTTCTCACATTGTTTTATTCTAATAGTATTTAAATAGCCAAAAATGTGATGCTTGGTGAGCTCAGTTTCAGGGTTCACTTCATGTTCAGATCAGTTCTTAGTTAGGGACTGCGTTAAGGTTGTTTGGGGGGGGGGTTGCTGGTGGCATTTCGCCAGCAGGACGAGATGTTCCTCTTATCCACACGACTGCACAGTCGGCCTGCAAGGAGTCTCCATGGAGATGCTCCTGTTCACCGGGTCGAGAAGAACATTTCTCCGCACAGCACCAATTGTACCTTTTTCAAAAGCTTTCCCCACATTTTACCACTTTCCTTTTGCACAGACAGGATTCGTGCTGTCTCTCTGGGAGTAAATAATATACTGTCAAAGTATATAAATGAAAGCGTGTATATTTGGTCATTACTGGCAGCTCAGTATGTTAAGTAAAACTCTGTGGATTCAGGATATTGTGTGTTGGAAACATTTAATTTACTTTTCTTTCTAATACACCTCCCTTAATACAGGGTTTATAAGATTTGAAAGTGGTAAACCAAAAATGCTGGGAACTACTGACCAGCATGTTTTACTGATGGAAATGTCAACAGGGGGAATGTTTGCCGACTCAGATTTCTTTATTTCTGTGACTCACCACTGTTGTTCTACTCTGCCACAGGTGACAGATAACTTTGATCGTCAGGACTTCAACAAAATGTGCTGGACATTGTGCTCCAGGAAAAACCTGGATCTGAACCAGCTGTACATCTCCAACAACGACGCATTCAAGATCTGGTGCATCTTCAACTTCCTGTCTGAGGACAGATACCCACTGATCATCGTCACTGAGGAGGTAAATATTCACTACAGTAGTTCACTGCTGCAACTTCAACGGACGGGTATTTTCCTTTTTTTTTTGTTAAAGAAAAACTGGCTGTTTGGGCTCCTTTAAGATACATCTTTTAACCACTACACTGATCGATTTAAAACACTGCAGGTGGCTCCCTCAACAAAGTGGACTATATGTAGCAGTTTACAAACCTGAGCCAGGCCCTGAAATGACTGGTACAAATTCACAACTTCAAGCTTCAGCAGCACTTAAGGAAAAGGGGCTACGGCCGTTTGTTTCAAAATGTTCAATATATCAGTGGCAAGACGTTACCTGTCATGACGTAACCTTACATTATACCATATTAGGGGTGGCTGTGGAGGAAGAGTGGGTCATCCACTAATATAAAGGTCGGTAGTTCGATCCCGGCTCCTCCAGTTAGCGTCTCAAAAGCCAAATTGCTCCGATGGCTGTGCCGTCTGTGTATGTGAATGTATTAGTTTGTTTCTTTTGCCACCTTGTGTGGTAGCCACTGGCATCAGTAAATGAAGATATGTTCATTTATAGTGTAACACGATGTCCATTTACTATCAACACAACCCCTTCTTTATGTTTTTGCCAAACAGCTTAGTGTATCAGTGTTAAATAAAGAACTTTGCTGAAATAAAATATAGTTCGTAGATAAGAACGTTATCTGATTGAGATCCGGCAAGGTCTGACCAAATGGTCGGTAAACAAGCCTGACGGAGCTTAGTAATAGTTGGATACTCTACAACCTCAGACTAGACCATTCATGTCTTCCATGAAACCTCGTTTTTAATGCTAGTCAGTGACGTCTGCAGTCTGCACTTCAGGATTGCACACTTTCAAAAATTCTGTTTTTGATTTTAGAGGAAGATTTTAGGTCCATTGTTGAGGGTCCTTATTAATCCACTATCGCTGGGTACCAACGTGTAAACTTGCAGCTTACTGACTTGTATAGAAAGCAATTTCCCCTTTAACTGTCTGCTACGTTGTTACTCTGGAAAAAAAACTGTCTTTGAAATGGTTGGTTACAAAATGGGGGAAGTTATTGATGTAAATGTTATCAATTACTCAAATTAGCCAGCATTTGTTTGGTTGCCTGTATTAACTTCCCACTGCAGTTAACGGCTCACTTAAATGGGCTCTTGTTCATGTTAAGCTCAGGTCAGCCGTGAACTCAGAATTGGATTTTAGTTGTACTATGTGTATGTGGCGCTTTGCTGCTACAGTAACTGGTCAACTGAAAACGTCCGTTGCTCAAGAGCAGAAAAGGAAGTTTCCAGCTTCCTGTTCTTTTGCAAACGCTGGAAGATTTATTGTTGGGTATAAAACAGAGCTGAATCACAGGAAGATTATATGCAAGAGAAATGTATATTTATATGCACCCATGTTGAGATGAGCAGTAGGATAAATACAGGAGGGGGACAGTTATCTTCTATATGAATGAATAGTTGAATGACTAGTATGTTTTATTAAAAAAGTAGGAAAAATTCTATTTTGCCTGTTTGTATGGTGTGTGCTTTGTCTTTGCACACTCATATGCTCTTGTTTATAACTCTGCATGTGTCTCCATGCACAGATTGAGTACTTCTTGCATAAGCTGACTGAGGCGATCGGGGGCAGCTGGGTGGAGGAACGTTTCGAGGACTACAAGCTGCAGCTGAACTCAAACCAGGAGAGTCTGAAAGCCTGGGAGCTCATCAGCCTGGTGGGGTCGGGTCACTTCAGTAAGGGCATGGACCGCCAAACGCTCTCCATGGGCATCACTGATGTCTACCAGGAGCTCATCCTGGACGTGCTCAAACAGGTGGGCAGCACACATGTACAGACAGAACACTGATACAGTCTCTGTGACTGATCGTTCGCTAAGCTCCATCTCTTTAGTCGCTACGCTTGGTGAGCTCTCCGTTCTCATGCCCCACAAATGCAGTTTGCTACAGGGATAACAGGGGTAGATTTACCACAGAAAATATCATGTCGTTAAAAAAATAAATTGCTTAATGTTTCCCCCTATCTATTGGCACACACTGTGCGTCTTTGTGATATTATGGTCAAGTAATCTTAACGCCATATAAAGAACAAGGAACCCCGAGTTGGATGTCTTTCATTTGCCACACGATGAGTCAAGGCCACCTCAACCAGTTTTGTTGTAGCAGCACCGGTTGATATGTGGTACTTCCTGCATAACAACAGGATTGTAGCAACATGCATATAGGGAACGGTAAGACAGTCTTGTGTATACGACTTAATAAATGACACAAAAAAGACAAAAGTGCAAAAAATTACTTTAATACCACAGCTTTGACTACAGTCGATGCTTTTCGCAGCCATCTTGCTTTGAACTCAGGTCCTCTTGAGTTCGACCGAGATGATGAGCATGAACTCCGACATCGGGGGAGCGTTTCATTTGTCATTTCCGGTCTCAGAAATAAGGTGGAAAAGAGTTCAGAGTACAAATGGAACGCACTATAAATCACATAACAGGTGTTCATCTATATTCAAGGATTGTCTTTGGCAGCGGATACATAATTAGATCTTCAGTGTGTGGATGTTGCTGAATAATTTATCTTTTGAAATTCGATTTCAGTTAAAGGATGAGTCTGGTGATATTCTGTATTTTTCTCATTTTCAAAACACAAAACAAACCCCATGAAAAGACCAAAATCAACAACGAAGTATTATTTGTGTATCCAAAGTCTGATATAAGGCATAGAGCTCCACTGATCCAAAAACTATTAAAAAGCAATGAGCCACACTGATGCACTGGGTGACCTGTTCCTTCATTACCATGAACATGCACACTGTAGTTTATTTTGACTCAATCACACATACACTGTCCTTAATTGATTGATTGATTGATTGATTGATTAATTAATTGATTAATCAATCCCTATTAATCATTTGTACTGAAACTATGTTTGTGACCTGTTTTTAAAGATGTGTAAAAATAAAATAAGGGGCTCATCAAACACTTTATCAAGGCAAACAGACAGACACAGGTGGATTGATGATAGAAGAAATTTCTAAAAGTTACAACAGCCCTTTGCAATATATACAAAAATAAGGAAGTGAGAGTTTGTGGTAATGTGGGGCAGGGCTGTATATTTTCATGTGAAAGCATGCATGAATGTGTTACTGGGGTCACGCAGAGACAAAAAAAAAAAATATTAAGATAAGATAGATCTTGCATAACAAGATGCCTCCAGAGTGACATTATTCATTTGTCAGAACTGTTGAGGATAACAAAAAAGTTACAAACTTATTTCCATTGTGGGCCTCGATTTAATATTTAGTATCCCATGTGGAATCCAGTCTCTAAATTATCCTTTTTTATAACAAAGTCAATAATGTCAGAGTGTTTATTGGTTTAAATAAGATACATTTCTGGAAACTTGTCTATGGCTTCACCTGGTTCATTAGAAATAAAAACGTCAAATACACATAACACTGAACACATGCAACCAACACATTTAAACACAGAAACCAATAGGAGCTTCCAGTAGACCGGTTATCTCTTATGAAATCATCAAACAATTGCGTGAGGGATAAAATAAAAGGTTGGTTGTGTTACCCTGATTCATGTCCTCCTTTCTCTCTGCAGGGCTACATGATGAAGAAAGGTCACAAGAGGAAGAACTGGACGGAGCGCTGGTTCGTGCTGAAGCCAAACTCCATCTCCTACTATGTCGGTGAGGACCTGGCCGAACTGAAAGGAGAAATCTTACTGGATGGAAACTGCGGTGTGGAGGCAAGAACCTGCTGTTCTGTTATTTTTATGAGAACTCTTCTACATCTGTGAGAACTCATGACCTTCGTAGTGATCAATTTAATAGCTGAAACAAGGGTGGACAAAATCTAAGGCCTGAAAATCTAAGCTTAAAGTGCATGTCTGATGCTGTATCATAGGTCAATCAAATCGTGTGTTTTTACAACCGTACAGTTATGTTAGCTAAACAGATATAGTGATTAGTTGGGCATTAAAAATACATTTTTGGATCATTAGGGGGTCGATTCCTGTGTTATCTTACATTAGTCATGGTGAGAATTTCAGTAGAGAAGATAATCGTGTGAAGGTTAAAAAACAAATACAGATATTTGTTTTTTGACCTTGGGGTCAGTATTGCATTTTATTGCCTTCCTAGCTGATTAAACAGTGGGCACAGTCAGTACAGTTGAAAGCTCTGAAAAAGATATCATAAGAACATAACTGTTGTTGTGATTTGGCGCTATATAAATAAAATTGAATTGTAGATATTGATTGTGCAACTGAATATCGTGGTCTTCACTCATGTTTGCTCACATTGATCAGCTGGCATAATTCATTTTTATTGTTTTCAATGCAGCCTCTGCAAGATAAAGAGGGAAAGAAGTGTCTCTTCCTCATCAAGTCGTCGCAAAAAAGTTTTGAAATCAGTGTGTCGGACAAGAAGAAGAAGCAGGAATGGATCCAGGGTGAGAGATCGGATAATCATTAATAAATTCTGAAGCTATAAGCTCCAATGTGGTGACAATGAGATTACTGTGTCTCATTCATTCCCACTTCATGGATTGCACTGTCTGATGTTTTTTTTAAAGAGACACATTTCTGCATTTCAGTGAAAGCGAATGCTTTGGTTTTCTCTGTAAATATAAGACGTTTTCATTTGAGTTGTGTCAAGTTAAGATATTTCATTAATCTCAACAGGAAATTGTCTAAATGCAAAATTCTTGTCATATCGCATTTTAGTCAGTTTTAAAAACTCCACAAAAACTTTAGTTTTACAATTTTGACTAAGAGCCAAATTAGAAATAAAATCCTGTGTTGTTTTTTTTTTCTTCATTACATGAGTCCTGTTAGGATACAAAGTAGGGCTGTAACTCACTATTTTCACAATTGGTTTATTCAATAGAATGTCAGAAAAGTTAAATATGCACTTTTGTAGTCAGATATTCAGTTTACAAGTCATACATGACAAACATAGAAGAACTGATGTCCGCCCACTAATCTATTAAACAACTTCTCATTTCAGTTCTAATATGAATGCTATTGATAACCAGTTATTTACTTAAATTTTGTCACAATTGTTTTGACACATTATTATTAAAAATAAGTCACAGCTCTTTTCTCGTCATTTACAGACAGCTTTGAATGAAATCACAACACTATTTTTTACGTCTCCATGTTTTCCTCGCAGCCATTCAGACCTGTGTGAGCCTGCTGCGTCAGGGGCGGCCGGCGCCGCACCGCGAGGCTCGACAGAAGCGGCGTGAGCTGCGACTGAAGCAGCAGGCTGAACAGGAGGAGCTGGAGCTGAGGATGAGGGAACTGCAGACGGCCAATGAGGCTAAACAGCTGGAACTTGAGAACATGAGGAAGGTGAGGAGAAAACACACACATTAAATGTTGCTCTTTGAATCCAGTCTGGTCAGGAAACGTCTGGTGCATTAACAGTTCCTTTTGTGGCATGAATATAAAAATAACTCAGGGTGGAGTGGAAGTGTTTCTTTGACATGAGAGGGGTTGGAGTGATCTGTGACGACCTGTCAACATAATGTGGGAATGCAAACAGAAGTGCATACTGGACAGATTATCCTCCAGTCTAGTGTGAGTGTCAGCAATCGTTACTTTTGTGTAATCTGACTCTGTCAAGGATGTCCTGACTACATGTTGTTTTTTATTTGGACAAAGAAAGAAAATGTGCGCCAGTTGTAGAGTTATTAAAATGAACAATACCTACCTTGATAAAAAGGAAAAAAACTGTATTAAACTGCCGTGACTAAAAACACTGAAGAGATAAAAATTTTAGCCAAACAAACACAAAGATAAGGGGCTCAGAAAAACCACTCCAAGACAAATAACACAAAACAAACAGTTGGGTTGGCAATGAAAATAGAGCACAACTTTTACACAGTTATAAACACAAATGTCTATATAATTTTCTATTGTGACGAGCAAAAGGGGAACAAAAGGAAAGAGCCATCTAGGAGGAAATTCACTGGAATTTGTTAGTGAATGAAACCTGAGGGATTCTCCCAGAGGGTGTTTCTGAACCTGTGAGAATAAAATAATATTCTAATAATAAAGGAAATATAAAAAATAGAAAGCATCCGACTCAATAAAAAAAAAAAAAAAAAAAAATACAGGAGGGAGCGGAGGCATTCCCCTTCCAAGCATGAAGTGACCTGGAAGAAGAAGACATGTTGTTTCCAAATTTATTTTGAGTGTCTTTGCAGTTTGAAAAGATGCGTGGGTGTTTAAGACACACATGTTGTTATTTTCCTAGCTGACTCAGCTGTTTGGGTACAAAGTGTCTGTTCTGTTCCTTTATCGGGAAAGCTTCCTCAGCTAGAACGTAAACTCATGGGATCTCTATGCATCCACTGTGCTCAGGGCTTCTTTTGTACTCAGATACACAATTAAGAACCTTAAACTGTGAAGAGGAGTTCTGTCTGTTTTTCTACGCCAAGGTCAATCCTCACAACCGTGTTCAGACCGACTTTTAGCCCTTTATGAAAAAATGCGGCCTCCTCATTTCTTTGCATGAGTTTAATTCGACAATTCAGTGGTGATGCCACTGGCTCAACACTTCGCTGTAAAAACAATGCAATCAAAGTTTGGCTAGTGCAATTTCCTGGTAGATTACTTTGTAACATGGACACCGTATTTCTACTGTTTACCTTGTGATAAGATAGTAAGTAGTTGTTGGCATGATAACTTTCCCTTCTTATAACATTATAAAGCTCCGTGCAGTGTTTTGGCGTCTGATAAACCTTCAAACACGTGGTCACAGCATCATCAAATCTTTTGCTTCTACTGAGCTTGTTAATTCTGGAAATCAAAAGAAGGAAATATTCTTGCTAAACAGATGTGTACTCCAGTTAGTCACTAAACAAAGTCTAAAAACTGATTCGACAACATTCCCCATAAATAATGTCACAGCTTAAAATAACAAATACAAGACGAGTTAACTGAGTAACGTGTATTGTAAAGCTCTTATATATATATATATATATATATATATATATATATACTATGCAACACTTGCATTTTACAAAACAATTAAAGTGGGTCACCTAAAAACTCTAGTGGCTCTCTGAAACATGTTTCTGGCTCATGAATACCAATAACAGATGAGCTCCACCCTGTGGCCTCCGGCTGATGAATAGTCTGCCACTTGCTGCAAACAGAGGAATGTGTATTGAACCAGGAAGGGGACAGAGGGACATCATAAGTCTCTGTTAAACACGTTTTTCCAGTAAATCTCCCTAAACCTGACTTCCACTCCTGTCTGTTCACACTGCTAACTGACTGGTCGTGTTAAAATTCAGTGTCTATGTGGATTCTCTAATTGCTGATGACGACAGGCTGGTTCCTGTGAATACGGTAAATGGCTGTGAGGTTAACAGGAAGTGTCAGCTTCACAATGAGTAAAGAGCTGATGTCATACAGTTGATTGAAACACACTGTAGTTGTTACAGGTTAGGACATTAGTTGCTTCAAAGTAAAACAATTTGTCTTCATATGTATTCTTTTTGTCAAAGTTATGAAGCTATGAAGTAGTAAGGATAGCTTATAGATCTCAAACAATGTGAAACTGGACACACAAACCTCATTTCCCACAGTATGCCATAAATAAATGGCCTTAATGACTCATACCCATATCAGTACTTCTGCCTTCTTCACTACTGTAGTCTTTAGACCTGTCAATAAAGAGTAGGTGAAAAAATTTGCTTAAGTTTTTGTACACTGGCAAGCACAGCTATAATTACACACAACTAAGGCTATAATAATAAGCACCTGGATTATTAATCACATTTACCTGAAAATAATTGGCAGGATTTTTCAATCATTCTCAAGTGTCGATATCAAAATGAACTGCTTTACCATGGGAGATGGAAGAAACAAATAATTAAAATGTGAAATATAGTGATGCGTGTGATTAAAAGTGATCACAAAAAGCAATCTGAAATGGAAAGGGGGGGGGGAGGGGAATGTTTATTATTTAGATTATTTAGAGAGAGATTTATTTTCCGTCTCCACTTACATCTAACATGTCTAGAAAAGCGTACTTTTAGCTCACAACATCAAAGAAATCTTCTCAGAGGATATTACCCTTTAATACATTGACCGTACAGTGCAGCACAAGACATGTTGCAGCCATCAGCGTGGTTGTGACAGACGGGTAGATGCAGCAACAGTCAGTCAGACTAGTTCACGTTGTAGTTGTGCAAGAAACAGTGCAGCAGAGAACAAGGCTTTGTCTTTGTTTGAGACATTGCTGCTCTCCCATGAATGCGCAACAATCTGCCATTGAGGTGAAAGTCCCATCACACATAGATGGCTGCATGAATGCACAATGGACACACACATATACAGCCACATACAGAGAGAGAGAGACACACTGGGTCATCTGCAGTGTCGCTGGGCTCACGCGCACACACACACACACATACACAATAGGCACTCTGGCTCTCACACTATGCTGCTATAAGTACGGTAGTAGACGGTCGCAGTCTTAAGACAAGTCACAGCTGGGTAACACAAGTCTGTAAAAATAGAAAATTTGAAATAACTGAAAGGCAATTGGAGACCTCAAACGTCTGCTAAATGTCTTAACTTTCTGTTGTACTTACACACCACGCCGGTCTCTCACATTTTAAGGTTGTTTTGCTTTACAGTGTCAAATATAGAGTGGCCAAGTGAGGTTGTGACACATTGTGTTGTACAAAGATTTACAGTCTGGAGTGTGTTAAAGATCTGTTTCTAGACATACTTTTGAGTTAATCTCACGTAATTGCTGTTCAAAAGTGGAATGAGAACACGGTGAATAATGGATATTTTGGTGAGTTGAGTAGTGAGTTTAGTGAGTTGTGTGTATGAATGTGAAGTTTGGAGAGATCTCCATAGAGGAGCAGGTTGACTATCAGATCGCAAACACTGAAGCAAATTTAAGTGTATTTTCAATTCCCTTTTATAAGTAGGATTAAAACTTCTCATAGTTTTCTTAGGTAAGAAACCCTAGACTTACATCCACCACAATTCAATTGCAATCTGTTGTCAGAAAATAACCTAAATTGACTTGCTGCTTTACAGTGATAATCTTTCAGGGGGTTTCTTTTTCAATATGCACTTCTATTTTAGCAGTGGCCACTACGTATGTTCACTCTCAGTTCCTCTTTAGAGGTTGCCTATCTCTTTAGATATCCCTATTTCTTTTTTTTAAATGCCTATTTAAAGGTAAGCTGTGGGCCACAGCTTGCTTCTTGGCCTTCAAACTAAAATAACCATATTTCTTATAACATATCTAACCTGAATTTAAGGATGCCGCCCTGTTAACAGGCTCTTTTATCTACTGGGAGTATCTGACCTTTTTTTTGATAGCCATCTGTTTTTCTTTTTGCCAGGCTCTGGAGGAGGCGGCAGCTGATGCTGCAGCAGAAGAACGAAGGCGTCTTCAGACCCAAACTGAACTCCAGGACCGCTACAGGATGGACCTGGAGAGAGAGAAAATGGTATGCCACTCCTTGTCATCTTCCCGAGTCATTACATCAGAACAAGTGGTGGAGAAGGAGCAATTCAAATACAACTCACTCTTTTTGGTATACTGTAGAGGTTTTTTTCCTTAGGATGTGCAAGTACAACACAGACTGAAATCTAGCGTATGCGGTCCAATGCAGTAAGGAATGCAGAGACCTGTATATTGTGGAGACTAAACAAGCACTACACAAACATATGGCACAACACAGAAGGGCCAACTCCTCAGGTCAAGACTCTGCAGTTTACTTACATCTGAAGGACAAAGGACACACGTTTGAGAACCAAGAGGTGCACATTTTAGACAGAGAAGATGGATGGTTTGAAAGAGGTGTCAAGGAACAATTACAATGTGGTTCTTTCATCACTTCCCAGGAAACTCAAAAAACGTAACCTATTGGCCTCAGGTGAGGATGCCAACGGTAGTCCTAATGACCATAACGACTGTCGTTACAGCAGCCAGGAACACTAACGAACCAGCGATATCGACAATCCTACCAAACGACCCCACTGAGGTTCAGTAGCTTAGTTTCCCTACCAGTCAGTCAGAACTGAAGAAGTCCCTTGGATGAGGGACAAAATGTCTCCTAGTATCTTCAACCAAGTCCAGTTGCTCTCGACTTTAACCTTCTTTGGATAACTATGACCTGGATGACCTTGAGAATCTTCACAGACAATATAGACTGAAAGTTAAGACACACTACAGCTCAGAGTGAAGGTCACTTAAAGCTGAAACCTGACAGCAGACAAGTCCTTTTGAGTGTTAATGTCACTACACATTTAATAATACAGTATTTCAATGTAGCTCAGCTCATTAAAAGAATTTGCTGTTTGATTGTAACTGCAGATACGTACTTGTTACTGTAAGGTACATTTGGTAAATGTAACCACCAAAAAAGCATCTACACTGTGCTTCACTGCGTTAGGAGATAACATCTTGACATGCTCAGTGCACAGCATGGAAGTGGTATAACACACCAGTGGATGATGTTTATCATCCATCAGTGACTTTATAGCTTTTTTCCTCTTCACTGACTTCCCCATCAGCTGTTTACAAGAAGAGACAACATGAGTTTGATCAAATCTATTACTATTACGTTTATGAATGAAAACGGTACAAAGTTAACTTACAAATATACAAACTACATCCCTAAATCATTCAGCTCATAGAGCGATTATTTTCATTAGCAATTAATTTGATAACTATTTTATTTAGAATGATTTATTTGGTCTATAAAATATCAGAAAATAGTAAAAAAAAAAAAAAAAAATGCTTGTTTGGACAACCCACAGTCCAAAACCCAAATCTATTCAATTCAAAGTGGAATAAAATGCAAAAAGCTAGAACTGGCTAATGTTGGTCATTTTTGGTGTGTGCTTATTCATAAACACCTTAGCACCTTTGTACTTCTACACCTACTACCACAGTGCTAAAGAGCTCACAAAGAGCACCAGAATACATGACCTACCTAACATAGGCTGGGCTGAAATAGTCACTTTGAGGATAAGCTGCTAATTTAGGACTAGTTATGGAATAAAACTGTTCAATCTGATATTGACTTCCAGTATTGTTCTGTACTTTCTTGGTTTAATAGGTACGGCAGCAGGTAGAGGAGCAGGTGGCACAGAAGTCCACTGAGCTGGAGCAGTACCTGCAGCGGGTTCGGGAGCTGGAGCACATGTACAGTCAACTAGAGGACGCTCTGGAGGACGAGAGGCGTGCTAGACAGGACGAGGAGGTCGTCCGCAAGCTGCAGGCACGGTCAGTTAATGAAGAGTGGAGGAGGGCAAAGCGCTGCGATGTTGATTCAAACATTTTCATTAAATAGGTCTGTTTGAGAAGTGTCTGTGCACAATTATATTCAACAACTTAAAAAATTATGTTGGCACAAGGCAATTCAGTAATCTTACAGATGAAACTTTGTTAAAGTCTTGGTCTCTATTTAGGGCACACTGAGTTGGAGCTGAGAAAAGCATACTTTCTGTTGTTAGAAACCAGCAGGTTACTTTAACAATGCAACATTTTTCAATGTAAATATGTTAATACTAGCAAAAGAACAAACTAAGGTGACTAAAAATCCCACAATAATCTAAACTTAATCACAAAGGAGAGAAAACTGCTCTAATCTTGGTTGACTGGATGTGGCTACGAGTGACATGCTTACAAATTTCAGTGATGACACAACTACTGTTTTGCCATTCACACATTTATAAAAACACCTTTTTATTACATTGAGGCTAAATTTGCCCTCTTTGCACTCTAAAAAAATCAGACGGGGACAGTTTGAGCCTTTTGCACGTGGTTTTCAATCCATTTCAAGTTGGCACACAAAACTGCACATAAAACTTAGCAGCAAGTGAACAAAATACTTGTGTAACAACAGCATGGGAAACTAAGAAAGACCATATTTCACACAGCTTGTTGTGGCTGAAAACAAAATGGAAGAGATAATGTGCCGTGCCAACACACAAAAGATTCCCACAATCAACGCGGAAACACCGGCATGCGGCTGTGGCTTTTCACACAGACACATTAATGGTCTGTTACTTCAACGTTTCCAGCTCAGACAGAAAGTACTACAGTATATTGGCATATTGAATACTCCCGCAAAATAAGTCAGTGTGACAGCGGCTATAGACAGACACAACGTGCTGGAAAATCAGTTAAACTCCCACTGCAACATTAAATATCTTTATCAGCTTGAGGTTTAACTAATCCATGCTCGTTGCATGATAACGTTACATTGACTGCATTTAGCAGACATGATACAACAGCGTTAGCTCGCCTGTCTGCTTTTCAGTAACGTTACAATCTGTTTATCTTTCGCCGTAGGTTCACCAATGCAGCACAGCTAAATGTATTGGATGATAACAAAACAGCTAGTGAGCTAGGCTGAATAGTATAAATAAGATTGTTGACACACTTTAACAGTTAGGCCGCAGTAAGTAACATTACTGTAGTGAATGGGTCTTCTACTGTGTTGTTGTCCTGCGCCGTTATGTTGCATTATTGTATTTTATGTGGGTCACATAAGTTACAGTGAAGTAACTTAGATCCATGCTTCAACGTAGTGATGAAATGCGCTCTGTAGTGCTGTTTGGGCTACTGTAGTAACATGGCGACGCAACTTGGCAATGTCCATGTAACAGACCTGCAGTGTATGTTGATACAAATGGCTCATTATAAGGTAATAAAAACATAATGGTTCATTATGTAAGCTCTTTATACACCACTGAAAACATAGCTAAGGATATTATATTGCATTTCTGTCAATAGATTATCATAAATATTACACACTGAACCTTTTAATCCTTTAGCATGAAACCATCTACAAGCAGCCACATGTGCTGAGTCTGCTCCTCACAGGCAGCCAGACATTCAACTTCTACTTCCCTCTCTCTCCATCTACACCACATTTTCTCCCCTGTCCTTCCTTCCTCTCTGCTGACATTTACTTTCCACCTTACGTTTGACTAACCAGCAGTGAGCATGTCACCACTGTGCTCAAATTAAACCACTTTGTTAAAAAGACAGCAATCAGTAACATAGGCCATTTAGTCTTCTACCACACTGAACTTTTCAAGTAAAGCTTACAAACGTGTGGAAAGCAGTTTACAGATATTTAGGCTTGATGATAGGCTAAGGGCCGATTTGAGTTACTTGTGCATAGACATATAGTAAATAGATTATAAACATGCCCACCAGGAATCACAGAGATAATGAGAGGAGATTTGAAGTAAAATATTCAATATCATATTGGGCACTGAGCCAACTTGACTTCTGTGTGTTGTACATTTTGTCAGTAGCACCACTGTAGCTCCTGTATGCAAGGTGCTTTCCCAAGTTTTTCTGTTTATATTTTGATGCAAGATGAATGCAGTCAAAAAACAATTAAATGTTAATTTACTTTATTTTAATCAAATATGATGGCCTTAGATTCTGCCTTTTGAAAAAGCGTTAAAATTTTTGTCTGCCTTTTTATATAAAGCATGTTTTGATAAAGAATATAAACAATACAAACTACATTTATCCAGAAGTAAAATCTATAGTCACATTTACTTCAAGCATAATTTTAAAAACAGTCCACAATGGTAATATAGCGCCATCTGCTGACTCAATGCCACAGCTACCACAGTATGGATTGATGGTGGGAATTGTAAAAATTTGGGGATTGCACAGCGGCTAATAATGTCCCTAACGAGAAAGATGCCTTCCTGTAATACATTGTACATATTATACAGAGTTATTATTCTCACTTAAGTTAATTTTTGTGTGGAGCAGGTTGCTGGAGGAGGAGGCCACAAAGAGGGCAGAGTTGGAGGAGTTCCACCTGCGGCAGCAGCGCGCCATCTCAGAGACAGAGGCTGAGAAACAGGAGCTGGAGAGGGAACGTCTGGCCAAGGAGAGTGCCCTGCAGGCAGCAATGAAACAACTGGACCAGCTGGAGATAGAGAGGCAGGGGGCGCTGGAGCAGTACCAGGTCAGAGCAGTCAAAGTGGTGGTGGTTTGGGGACGCGCAGTAGCCCACAAGAGACATTTCTAAATCAGTTTACAATGAAGTATACAACAGTATGGCTCAGTTGAACAGGGCTGGGTAATCTATTAAATAGTGTATAAAAGGCGAAAAACAATGAGAGATGCCTGTTTTTGGTTAAAGGAACACACACATTATCACCACAAAATCTGAAAATGTCCTCCCAGCTTACTGGTGATGTTTGGGAACTCAACTGTAAACAATGTTGAGGAAATCGGTTTACATTTACTAAAAAACTTCTCAAAAGTTCTCAGTAAAGACACAGCATCACTGTATGACTGCTGAATGGGAGGCAGCTATTTAGCCATAAAACCATACAAAGAAGTTAATACTAATTAAATTGTATTTGTTGATAAAGTATACCGCAACAAATTAGGTTTTCAGAGTGTTGTCATAAAAGAAAAACCCTCTCCTTGTCCTTGTGTGAGCCAGACGGTCATGAAGAAGCTGGAAGACGCAACCAACAACACCAAGACCTGGAAGCACAAGGTGGCTGAACACGAGGGCTTGTTAAGGCTCATTCAACCAGGTAACAACAGCACACAGACCACTGTCTGTACTTCTATCTTTGAACGGACTCTAACACGCAGATTAATCTTCATAAAGGACTGTTTGAGGGGTAAGACTTAATGTATTTGCCACTCTATAGCCCTGTTCAGGCATGCACCTCGGACAGATAAAGACAGCTGTTCCATTTCTAAAAGGGCTTTAATAGTAAAGCTGGGCAGGATTCAAAATGCAAGGCCACAAACACGTAATGCAGAAGACAATAGCCAGTACAGGAACAAGGCAAATTTATTTATATATCACATTCCATAGACAAAGCCAATTCAAAGTGCATTACATTAGGGCTGCAACTAACAATTATTTTCATTTATCGGCTAATCTGTTCGATTATTTTCTCGATCAATCAAATAGCGGTTTGGTCTATAAAATGTAAGAAGATGGTAAAACATGTTGATTAGTGTTTCCCAAAGCCCAACAGGACTTCCTGAAATGTTTTGTTTTGTCCACAACCCAAATATATTCAGTTTAATGTCATAGAGGACTAAAGAAACCAGAAAATATTCACATTTAATAAGCTGGAAGGAGAGAAATTTAACTTTTTTTCAATAATACTTTATGTGTACGGTGCAAAAGAATAATAATGAAGTGTGTGGTTCTTCTTTAAAATACGCTTTATTAAATCCTCTTAGCACATGGTTTGTTGGCGCCGACAGTTTTAAAGGACAAAATATGGAATAGTTCCTTTAAATAATTTAATAATAGCACAAACATATCACTGAACTATTGTTGTGGTTTGACAATTGCTTGCACACACTAAAAGTAACACACACGGACAACCTTTGACCAAGTGCTACGTCAGGGAGGACCAATTTGAAGAGTGTCTCTTGGCAACCATGATAAATTCTTACATTATCTGACTTTTACTACACTGTTAATTGTTGGGAAACATTGCAAAAGAATAAAATACTGTAAACATCTCCAGCTTTAGTCTGAGAGTTTCAGAGCATGATCTGCTTGAAATGTTTTCCCCCCAAAGCTACAAACCAACTCCTGCCATGAATAAATTTAATGGCGCCTTCTTCCTACTAATTTCCCAGTAGAGTTCATTAGTGAAATTAGTCGAGGAGAAACAATTTGGCTCTTTGTAAACCTGACACTCTTTTGTCATACTCTCTTAGGCTACGGTCTGCTCCCACAAAGCTGGTTACAGCTGAGCAAAAATGCTGGAGGGAGAAGACATAACAATGAGATATCTAAATTCCATAGATATTTTGGTTGGAGGCTTCATATTCAGAATGTTGTTTACTACAAAGTAAGATGACTACTCTATAGACATATCAGTCTGTCCAAACTCTTTTGGGGCCAGAAGGTTTAAGAAATTTAAATTGCAGCACACTTTCAACAATTCATCTGATAAGTACGCTCATGTTCAGTTGAAACCTAAAGTGCAGATTACTTTTAAGGCCAAACATAACTGCAAAGTAACTGAAGCATTTATGGATGATTTATCACCATAACGGCGCTCACCTTTGTTTCTCAGCCACATTTGTATGTTTACATCTGGTTAATGATTAAGAGCCTGACCTCTATTTAAAACCGGAGGGAGCAACTATAGCATTTTGGAGTTAAATAAAAATATAAAGGAAAACTTAATGAGAGAGATGTATCCAAAAAAAAAGGAAATTACCCCAAAAGCAATTGCAAACAACATCCTGCTTTGTTAAAGGGCCATGATTACCAAAAACAGTTACATTTTCCAGCTGGACACAGCAACCTGAGTCAGAGCATTGAGCTTCACATGGTACAACGACATCCTTTCACAGTATCCCAAATTCTTGTTTTTGCTGACCTCCAGTGGTTAAGCTTAACTTGCTGCTGTGATTAGTGCAACATGACATCACTTTTGAGTTTCATTACATCAGTCATAGAGCACACATGTTAAGCCATGTTTAATTATTTAATTATAATTGCACATAAGGTGAATAACTGAAGGTTATGGTCCACCTTGAATGAAATATTCCTACCACTATGGTGAATTTTTCCTTTCTCTTCCCTTCCAGGTTCCAAGGGACAGCAGCGGATCACCAACTGGGGCCCAGCAGCCTTTTCTGATGCAGAGCTCAGTCTAAGAGAGAAGAAGTGGCAGGAGACGAAGAACCAGGCGACCCAGGCCCAGTAGAGCCTTGAACCTTAAACATGTCTACAAGTCAGAAGGGAAGCTGGAATATACTGCTGGTAACTGGGTTTTCAGTGGCATAATTGCTCAGTATGAGCCAGCACTGATAAGTGTATTGGTATACCTTTGAACAAGTCTGTCATTGTTAGTCACCATAGATTAAAGTAGACTCAATTCACATTTTTACCTTAAAGTTCACTAATTCTAGCAGGCAGCCAACAAAAATACTAAGTGCTGACGTGATAACACCAGGAAAAATAGCTTTGCTGTTAAGATGTGTGTCTTCCTTTGTTGCTAAATATATTGACTGCTATGCCTTGCTACTTGGTGTTGTATAACTAAGCAGCTAAAAATGTAGATTGGTGATGTGTTTAAAGGGAGTTTTTTTTCCAAAACTGTGTACAGTATGTAAAATAAGTTGTAAAGGCAGCAGAGCTCACTTGGCAAGGTTGGGTCAACCCTAACAACCACCATAGGTAGAGTATATTACAGACAGTTTAGGCTACAGAGCAGGAAAATACATTTAAACGGTGCCTTGGCCTTCTTTATTTTTCAGTGGCTTAGCATTGATCCAATATTCACCTACTGTGCTAGCAGATTGAATGACACACCAGCCCTGATATTACAATAAAGTGTACAGCGATATTGTATATCCTCATGTATCACTGTACACACAACATCTATTGCATGTTGTTTCTTCCATTTTTTCCCCCCTGTTAAAAAGGGAGTTTTTCCATTATCGGAATTGAGGGTTTAAGGACGGGGGGGCCAGAAGCCCCTTGAGGCAAATCTTGATTTGCGATATATGGATGTACAAATAAAACTGACTTGACTACAGCAGCTGGCCAAATTTTAAAAGACAACTCCATCTACTTAGACCTTCGGGTCTTCTGTAGGACCAATGGGCAGCTCACTATAGAAGCTATAAGTCCCTTTTTTACAACGCTGTTAGTACTTCACAGCCTATGAACAGTGGACACTCACATCCTGTATAGAATAGCTGACCAAGGCTAAAAGCTAACAGTATACTTAATTTAAATCTATTCATTTTTAAGATGTGCAGCTTATTAAGTCTTGTAAAATACCTTTTATCTTTTTCTTCCACTTTGTCCTGTCTTAACAATAAATGCACTACTTTTGACTAGAGTCTAATCAGTCCAACGCAAACTGCTTGACCATGTTTTAGATTCACGCTGTTATAATGTTAAGAGAGCGTGAACCACACCTACCAAGTTGTAAGATCTACTACTCTCTTTCATGTGACTATTTTCCTCTTAACCCTTTGGGACCATTTTTACATGTTTGAAAAAAAATAAAACACATTTTAACAATGTTTTGTCAGAGTTTTTGTTTTCCGTAAAGTTAAGCACTTGAGGATGACATGTTTAATGTAAAGTCAATTATCTTTAAACAAAGTTGTCGTCTAATATAACACCATACCATGTACAATTTACTAAATCTTTTATTGTTTTTATCAAAATGCTTTTTTCTCTGGTTTGTCTGCCCTAGGTTTATACCTGTTTAAGGAACTGGCTTAAACATTTCCTGCTTGTGAATGCTGTCAGAAATAGGGCATTTTGCTAAAGTCTCACTCCAAACAGGAATGCTATCTGCAGAACATTTGTACTGTGTTGTTGTACTGTCACAATCAGTGCCTTTGATGCCGTCATGAGTCCTGAACTTGGTGTTTTATATATATATATGTACCGTATGTAAAAAGCTGAAGACTGAATTATGTAATAAACATGCTGAACAAGTGGCTAACTGTATTGACTATTTTGTTTAAAACTACATTAAAAACTTACACAAACATACAGTGCTACACACAAATCCACAGGCAGCTGCACTTTTACAAATGCATTCAAACCTCATTTGTTCCCCAGATGGCGGTAGAGTGCAACAAACGTCAAAATCAGTACAATGACATGTTACAAAAGTACAGTATTTCTGATGGAGAACACCATTTACTGTCAATAAGACAATGGCAAGAGCTAAGGGAAATGGTGACTTCATTTTCATGACTTCACTGTCTAGACCTTCGTTTTTCCAAAATAAAGCTGATCACTGTCTCCTGTCTGGCTATGCATGATACAGGCAGTATCATCAGGATCATTTGCTGTCCTATAATTGTGTAATTGTAATAATGTGTAATTAAATTGTCATCCTCTTTCTGTAATATCTGGTCTCTGATAAGACAAGCGAGGAAGTTTAATAAAGACAGAAAATGAAACATCCCCGCCAATCACAGGTGGACGGTGCAACAAACTATTAATTATCAAACTAAGGATGTTGGGGGGGTATTTGTAATGTATGCAAAGTATTTTATGTGCCATTTCTGTGTTTTACCTTTTTTTTTGCCATTAACTTGCATCTGTTTATTCCATATTTATATATTTTTAAATCTATTTATGTCAACTGTATAGTTTATGTCTAGCACCTAATCACCATAGCAAATTCCTCATACGTGTAAAATACTACTTGGCAATAAAGCTCTTTCTACTATGGACAACAAGGGCTGGACAATAATTCAATATCATCATGTATCAGTTTAATCATATTGTCATGATTAGAGCTGGGTATCATATGAACATTTTTTTTACATTAGTGTGACAATCCCTGAGTTTTGGCTACAATACCAAAATTATATTTTTTTCCATAGAGAAACATAAAAGTTGTTTTTCTAAATTATGGCGTACAAGATTTGCAACTATCTGATGAACGCTTATGTAAACAAGATTAGTGTTGAAGCACCAACTATTTTTTTATAATCGATAAATTGGTTCAATCAGTTAAGAAGCAAAAACGTCAAACATCGTCAGGTTCCAGCTTCTCAAATGTGAGGATTTGAAAATCTTTGGGTTCTGGATTGTTGGGTCAGACATTACCAGCGATATGAAGACATCACTATTGACTTGTAAGAAAATGTATTATTAATTATCATTAAAAATAAGTGTCAAGATTTTTTATTACAACAAGATTACAAATCTAGCCAAGCTTTCGACACAAGCTTTTTATACTAGGATCTACAGATACATTTCGGACAGCTTCAAACAAATTGAGGTTCGATACCAAGTGACAATATAATGATATGTTAGTTTTTATTTTTTCCAGAGTGATATTCTTATGTATCAATATTAGAAAATTATTCTTATCAACATCACGATCTTGATTTCATCCTTGCTGTCAAGACCTACCTGACCATGATTTGGATAAAAAAAAAAAAACTGTATTAGTTTGCTTACTGCTCAGAGTACCAACAGGGAAGTTAATTTCATAAGACAGTAAATAACATGAAACAAATAAAACGTTCCTGTGATGAACTAAGCAGGTATGCCAATAGACTTCCCAACAAAGATGCTCCATGCATGTTAACTCAAACTGAGAATTATTTGGAGTTTGTTTGACCATGACCTAACTGTCACGCAGTGCTTCACTGTGGTCAATCTGCAGGTCAGGAACTTTTCATTCCCTTCAAGCAACCTGACAATGAGTGTCTAATCCTGAAAAGATTCAAAATGCGTATTCTGACTGAAAACAGTCTCTAAACATTATGCAAAACAGACTACATTGTAAAATCTCCACTTTTAGATAAGCCCCCTGTCAAAATATCCCCAACAAAGTTAATTCACTCCATCCTCTCTTCGTATCGTGCAACAGTCGTTAATTTGAGTGAGACGGGACAGACCAAACAAACACACACAAACTACATTCCCAAAAATCTGCACTCCAGATGCGCTCGGCACATTCCACAGCTGCACTAACACTGCTTTATGCAACAAGATGGCCTGTCATTAACGCCAAGTGCCGCGCCGGATGCGCTCTGTCAACTCCCCCGCCTCCCAGCTACCCCCACAACCCCCAGCAGCGTCTGTATCCCATCATCCCTCTCTCTTTTAAACATCCTCACACTCATCAGCCTGAGGTTATGAGGCTTGTGGCACGCGTGCCGCATTCCTGGGATGTAATGCGAAACAGAAATGCATTAAATTCCCGATCTGGAATCCATCGCAGGGGGTGTGTGTGTGTGTGTGTGTGTGTGTGTGTGTGTGTGTGAATGTGAGAGTGAGTCAGTGGTGGGGTTTGGTTAGAAAATAAGGACATGGCGGGGTTAAGGGGTCTCACTACCCCCTCGAGTACCAGAGCATCTGAATTTACAAAGTGTCTGAAGGTGTCTGAGGAATTTATAATATATAGGGTTCGAAAGTTTTAGGAATTCTGGGTATTTACAGCGAATGGGGTTCTCTGTAGCCCCAGGGCCTGTGGAGGTTTACGGAGCAGAGGGGTGCTCTTGGGACAGTAAAATAAAATGCCTGCACAACATTTAACTTTCTTCGCAGTATCGCCTATGACAATTCATGGACCCCAGGAGTGCAATGTGGCCGCATTAAGAGTATTCAGGGAAGCATCTGGAAAGAGTACACAAAAATAGCATATCACTACATCTTCACCTTATTGAGCTCTATGGAAGATTAAAAGGTCCCTGGAGAACTCCAGTAAGGGTCAACGATACAAACAGATGTCCTCCTCCGCCTCATAAAAATGATAAATGCAGAAAGTGGGTCCAGAGAGTGAGGAATTAACTGGAGCATTCCACTTCACACCAACTACAGCGATTATTACTGTAAAAAGCTTGGAATTTCATCTTCAACCTTATTTCCCCTGCATGTCATCCCTCTTGTCCACCAGCAAACTTCTCCGTATCCCCCTCCTGACATTTCACAAGATCACATTAGAGCTGGATTTGTGTAATGTGGGACTTACACCAATGACTGAAGGTTTTAGTTTAGAGATTTCGTGAGGTTTAAGGGTGCAAGACGGAATCTGGGACAAAGGATCTGGCTCCAATCAGAGCATCTGACTGAGGTTGACTCTGCACCCACAGGAAGGCCGAGCCCAAGGCCACAGCGGGGAAATCAAACCCATCTTTCTCAATTGTTCATTCCAGATATAAATATCTTTTGACAATGCAAAGAGCCAAGCTAAAGGTGACACTCTGACATCTCATTGGTATTTTTATCCTCATAGGTCAGAGGTTACTGTGGATATATGTAAAAGTACATGCACATACACACTTACCTACTATAAATCATATGCAAATGCGCACACACATGCCTACATGAATGCATAGCGTACACACCTGGATGTGAACACACACATACAAATGCATCTCAATGCACACCTGCAGTCATATTCACTACACACCTGAATGCATACACACTCAAATGAATGAATGCTGCATGCATTCACATACCGAAAAACACATAAATGCAGCAAGGTACACAACTACACACTATAAACACACATGTGCAGAAACAGATGCATGCACAGACAAATCTTTACAGATATGAACTGCTATAAAGCGGCAGTGAAGTGACTGGTTGTCTATGTGATCCAGCAAGGCAGAAAGACTTCTAAAGCCAATGTCTCATCCCCCCACCCCCCCATGAACACAAAGGAATGTGTGGCAAGGCGTAAATATAAAACAAAAGTGTTTCTGTGGAAAAAAAAAGAAAAAAAAGGAAAAAACCTGCTACCCCCATGGACTGTGCTTCACTCCTGCCTGCACATGAAGTTTATTCCTTTTTCAGTTGAAACTGTCTGACTCATCATGACTGAGCCAAGTTTGGCCCTGGCCTCCTACCAGAGCATTGTTTACCAGCATCCTACTTAATTGCACAGAGTAAATGAAATCAAGCTAAAAATATCCGATCGCAGCAGGCTTAAAAGGAAGCAAGTCAAGGAGTCAGCAGAGCTCTTCTTTACTGAGTGAAAGGCCAAGTGCTTGATGAGGTGATGCCAAGGGTAGAATTACCTGCACACTCCTGTATCATCATCCCTTCCCTAAATACACACCTTTTCTCTTCCTCCAGGGTAAGTGTGTCATCAAGGTAAAACTGCAGCTGCCATTTCCGTCACAGACCAACAGAACACAATTGTTATCATGTCTAACTGTCATGACGCTCCTGTAGTAAAGTCGTCAGCCTGGAGACCCTCCTCCACACTACCTGCCTTATTGGCTATTCCAAAATACCAAAATTTATCTTGAGCAACCTTCAGATGTAGCTTCCCAAAAATTATGTGTCATAATTCCTTAAACACTTTGAGTACATATTTGTGATGAGACTCCTCCACTTGCAATATAAAACCAGACATTGCTGTGATGTCTGGATAAACGCCCAAATTACTTTTATATAAAAGTCACAACAGCCATTTTACTAGCTTGAGCCTAGTAACATATCCATAAAAATATTGCCTCGAGGTTCTGAAATGTGAAAATGTGCATTTTTTCTTGGTTTTACATTATTGTAGATCAAGTATTTGGGTGTTTTGGATTATTGGTCGGACAAAAAACAAGACATCTGGAGAGGTCACCATGGGCTCTAGGACACTGTGATGGGCATTTTTCACTGTTTTTGGCAGATTAATTGGTAACAACAAAAGAGTTCACCATCTAATTATGTTAAATTATTAAAGTGATGAGAACATTTAAATTTACTGTGAGAAGCATGGACAAGTATTCCTCATGCTCGTGATGGTCATCAATTATGGCATTCATGGCAAAAAAAGTTTTAAAATCCATTACTAATGTAGCCCAAGAGGACAGCGAACACTCCTCTTTTGATTAAATAATACAATAATTTAATTAATAATTATTATTATTTAATATCATCATTTTAGAAATCACCAACACTGTTTCCTCTCTCCCACCAGGTGCTAACTATCCTGCAAACATTAAGACTCTTTACTCAGTCATGTCTGC